TAGCTGCATGCCGAGAATATGTTTACGTGCACGCCTGAAATCTCACACACATACTTTTGTCTAAGAAACCATGTTAATTTGTCATTGTTCTACCTCAACACAGACACACTATTGCACAAAGAATACCTTGTATAAACAAATTAATTAGATACCGCCCATTCATCCTCTTCAATAATCCAAAAGAAAGCTAATTGCTGAATAAATTCAAACCATGCTAAGCTTCCTAGAGGAAATATTTTTAATCTAAATGGAACTAAATGAACTCAGTGCATCAGGGCTTCACTGAGGTCTGTAACTATTTAAAATTCAAAAAAAGAAACAGGCAAAACCAAGACAAAAGTACCTACAGCAGTAGTCAGCAGAATATTCATCAGGGATCATCATGTTTTAGTGTAATTGCCCTTCTACACCCCCTGCATGGAAGTTCCTATGAAGCATTTGGCACTAAACGGTATCGGGTGAGTAACTGGACTTCACTGAGCAAGAGCCTGCAACAACAGCTTCTTTATTAATAACATTTTTGAAGGGTACTAAAAAAGGCCACAAAAGGGTGGGTGGGGAGGGGAAGATAGATGAAAACGACGTCGACCACAATTATGGAGGTAAACTACAAGGTTCATATGACGTAGGCATGTACATAGTGTTAGCGTCTCCTAATACCTACCTGCAAGATGCTCTAAGATGGTGCATAAAAAATTTCATACTCAAAAATACTCATGCTCTAAAGCTAAGGCCACATGATACAACCACGACTATTAAAGTTCTTTAAAAGTATAAATAGAACATGAAACGTTTTTCTATTTTATAGCAATGAATCTGACCATCTGCTTCAGTGCAACAGCAGCAGCATCTGAAAACAACTGAAACAGCAGCCTCTGGTGTTAAAATTCTGCTCTTTTTCTCAGACTCCACCTTTCACCAGAAAGCAGGACTAAAAACACAGAACAGATAAATCCAGTAGCCCTGAGGAATCCTTTGCACCATAAGTAATTTCCATCTTAGCATATTTCATACTATTTGTGTTTGCCTTCTGTAATTCACCGTGAAAATACCATCAGATTAGCTTCTATTCTGCCCTAGTGAAAATTCATCTTGATACAAAGTCCTCTTACTGTATGAAGATGGAAAATTTTTTTCACAGCGTGGAAAGCTCATTTCACCCCTCTACAGATCAAGCTTAATTCTCTACATCTGAAGAGACAGAAATTACACATCTCTTGAGCACATACATGAACAAGCACATGCATACGAAGCGTAAACCAAGAAAAACCACCCCTGCAATACACTATCTTAAAGGGCAGAATTATTCTGTCTTTCTAAACATGAAATATTTTCACAGAGGTGCACGCATGAGAAAGCAAGCACACGACAGGATCATACGTACAGCTCTTTGGATTTTTGTTTGAGTAATACAAGAAAAACTTCCTGCCATCCTCACGTGTAGCATTCCAGAAATTCAGTGTGCTCTCTGTGCAAAGCAGGAATATACTCAAGTATTATCAGAGTGCAAAACATGACAACTTCTGCATCATGCACCCAGTTTTTAAATATTGCTCTTTGAAGCCCCCAAATATCCTGTGGTTTTAGAGAAATCAGTGACTCTCTTTCAAAACCTTAGTTTCTCTACCCATGAAAACAAAAGCAACGCTACACCACACGCAAACTGAGCCTTTACCATTGGGATGGTCCAAGAAAGACGATAAACTATTTAGTAAACAAACCCACAAGTAGAGGAAGTTCACTTTCTGAGCAAAGTTAAATAATACAAACATTGACAGAGAAACCCACAGAAGACACTCCACACCCCAGGGAGAGGGGAAGGATGGCTCAAAGCAGAGAGCATCGTTTGTTATTTTAATGAATGCTTTCTCCTAACAAAACAAAAATACAACATTGTCTGAATGGACTGATTTGAACAAATCATACAAGAGATTCCTATAGCACCCATGTCTTGCCTTAATTTTTGTTTACTCCTGTATCGCTCATTAAGAATATTTCAAGTCTACACCTAGCTGAGGTATTAATAATGTGCATACTTTAAGATCAACTAAATCAATCTTCTGACACTCTGTGTATTCAATGGGGGCTGGCATATCAGAAAGATTTCAAATAGTATCTGTTGAATGTACTTAGAAATAATCAAATAGCTTTACTCTCAGCAGGGTGTCAGGAACAGAGAAAGAGAACTTGAGACAATCTAATAAAGCAACACAAATCACATACTTCCTTTTGGATGTAGAATTCGGGACAGCTAAAAAACCTCCCCACTCAGTTAATGCAGGGTAAACGCTGAAGCAGAGCTGGTCACAGCAAACCAACAACATTCCTCAAATAAAGCACCAGTGATAGCTCTTCCACAGCTCTGAGCTGGTGACAATGAAGTACTTTGCAAATATGGACAGAATTCCCACATACACAAATGAAATTCTAACCCACTTATAATGAAATAAATGGAGGCTCATCTAATTTGCACAAGGACATCATTAAATGCAAGACAAAAGGTACAGTCAGGACATAAATAACTTGCATACCAGTCCTGTCTTCACCACTAGATTTATTTCAGTATCAATAGAATTTGCTATTTTTACCTTTCTAAACCAAGCATTTTTCCTCCAAGAGCTCTGCTGCCCAGAGGCTGGTTTGTCTTCTTGGTTCCCAGATGCAGAATAATACTTTAAATATGCAGCTCTCTGGACCGCATGTTATCAGTGCTTTTTATGTTAAAAAAAAAATAATTAAAAACCCAAAACATTTCAGTCTGAAAGGAGGTATGTGCTTCAACAGCTCACTGTCCACAGACCCACCCGTGTTCCACTCTGTGGCTCAGCAGAGCCTTTTATCATAATAAAATCAGTAGCAATATGCAGTGGCCGCCAAGCTGTGCAGTAAGTGCCACGCTACTGGAAAAGGAAAATCCCTATACAATGCTTATTTAGAACAAAACGTACTCAGATCTATAACCAACACGTAACGCATAGCTTTAGGCTTTAATATCAAGATGCAGACGAACACTAATGTTCATGTTTTATGGACATCTTTATTCAGATACAGGCAACCCAAAATTAGCTTCAATGCATCCATGAGATAATAAATATTAGCGACCCCCTTCTCATTTTCAAATTACCACACTGTCTGTGCAACTTTTCCTGTAAAATAAAAGCCGAAAGCTACATATGTACATTCCTTCCAACAGATTTTAAATGTTCTGCCAAGGATATCTACAATCACTTCATTTTTCTTTAGTCCCCGTACAGAACAGAATCCTGGAATACAATCTGTTTCAGAGGCAGCTTTTAGACAACTTCATAAACTAAAATCTTAAAGCCCCATGGGTTGCTGACTGAGGTTAACTGCTTCAGCCAAAGCGACAAGTAAACACTATGCAACATCACAACTGAGAGACTACAGACACCAAACCGACAACAAAATATACTGGTCTTCCTCAGAATAATGTCCAAACCCAATTCTGCTCTAGTCTAGAACCTGAAATGTCCTGCGTGGCAGGTTTTTTATTCAGTAGTTGAAATTTGTTTCTTCAAAGCAAGAGAAGAGTCATCCTGTTCCGTGAAATTTCGGATGTTTCCTGGGCCCGATCCTGACCGTACTTCACACAGCGCAAGAACCGCCACGGAGTTCCACCAGATGGGTGAAACAAAGGGCAATAAGCACCTCACATCGCTGATTTAAATGCACGTGCCTTCCTTCACAGTCACAGCTGTTTCTTGATGAAAGAAATACTAGACTTCATTCTGTTCTCATCATTTATTTCACCATTCTGTGAAGTGGGTTGTTTTTTCTCAAAGAACCACCAAAAGGCTGTATTTTGGCCATTACACAAAAAGCTCTCAGATTTCCCTTGTGCTGGACCAGTCAATGGACTAGAATGAGAGAACACAGCAGATGAGAGGGCCAGTACAGGTCCTAGGAACCATGGCAAGATGTCACAACCTGCTGGCTACCTGCAGACGACCTCCTGTACAGAGACCAAAACCAATACAGCATATCCAAAAGGAATGGGAAGCACAGACACAGCAGGCGTGCAAAGAGAGCCCTCCACAGAGGGGCTGGCATTGAGACAGGGAGGGGAATCTTTGAGGAGCTAGAAAGTCTGATTGAGAGATTACTCCACTGTGTAAAAACAAGCCATTTGTATAGACTGTAAACACAGAAACTACATCTTATCAAGAGCAGGTACCTTCCTTCGAAAAGGACAACACTCAATTGCCCCCTGCCCCCTACTTCCAGGCACTTTCACTACTTTGAGAAGTGCAGACACACCAGCCAAGGTGTCAGAGATGCCGGGGGACAGGGAGCTGTTGACATCCTTTGGCTATGTGCCCTAAAGAGATTATTTCACTCAAGTGATTTACCAGGAAAAAGTTAAATCTCAAATCTGAGATCTGAGAATCTCAAATATACACCTTACACATACATGAAAAATCCACACACTCGTGTGTATGCACATCCAAGCTCAGGCACTTGTGCCGTTTGACAGGTGATTAGATTCTCATTGCCAGAAGAGGTCACTGAATCTCCCGAACCCCACCATTTTGGGCCAACCCGACGAGTCGCTATTTCTTGAAGGCGCTGTCCAAAGGCTGGATTCCCAAGGATGCTTCCGCACCCGACAGCCTAGAGCTCTCCCTGCCCATTAAACCGGCAGCCTCTCCGCTCCGGGGGCCCGAACTGCCGGTGCAACCACCGCAGCCCCACCGCGATGCTCCCCCCATCCCTCCCGCCCCTGCCCCAGACCCGCTCCGGCCGCGCCGTCCGGGGCCGCCGCCTCCCCGTCTCCCCTCGCTGGGGTTGGTATTTTGGGAGGGGTGCCCGCTGCCCGCCGTCCCTGCCCTTACGGTACTCAGGGAGACGCAGGGCGGTAACGGAGACGCGGCGCAACCGGTGGGACCCCCCCACCCCGCCCCGGGCGCGGCGCTGCCGCCACCGCAAACTTGCGGGGAGCGTGCGGGCAGCCCGGCCGGGGGGCGGCGGGGGCCGCTTACCTCGCAGGGCAGCCGTCCAGCCGCACAGCCCCAGCAGCAACAGCAGCAGCCGCCGCCTCCGGCGCAGGGGGCAGCCGCTCCGCGCAGCCCCGCCGCCCATCCTGTCCCCGCAACTCCCGCCGGCGGCGAAGGGACGCGCAGCTCCTCTCGCTCCCTCGGGAGTCGGGCTCCAGCCGGAGAATTCGGTGGGTTTGGGGTTGGTGGGGTTTTTTTTTTTCTCCCCTCTCCCTACCCTCCTCCTCTCCCCCCCGATGGGGGGAGGCGCCCCACGCCCGGCGGGGCGAGCCCAGGGCGGGCAGGGGCTGCGCAGATTCTGCGCCGGGTTCCGCGCTCCGCTCCGCGCTCCGGCCGCCGCCGACTAGCGAGCCGCCGCGCGCGCCCGCATCCCTAATGAGCCGCCCCTCCCCCGCAGCCAATTAGGCGCGCGCTGGGCGGGCTCTGCCGCGGGGCTGGGGTGCAGGGGGGGGGACGGGACACAGGGGGAGCGAGCAGCCCCCGGCACCCCCCGGCAGCACAAGGACCCCCCCGTCTCTCTCTTATTCTACCCTGTCTCTCGGATTTACAAATTTGGGCAAAAATCCCCTAAAAAAAAAAGAAGAGTACTCCCGTTAACAAGATGAGGGAAATACTACAGCAGCCAGCCCCCACCCCCAAAGCAAACACATTTTGTGCCATCTTTATTAATATCGCATCGCTCTGTGATCAAAAATTCTTTTTCTTGCCAGCAGTGTCACTGTTTCACTCTCCCTCCCCCCCCAATCGCACATATTTTTATTCCACACCTGAGGAGGCGGCAGGAGGCTCGGCCCAGCAGAGGGGGAGGCCAAAAAATCCCCCCTTTGCTGAAGCAAAACGGCTGCTGTTGTATCGGGGATACATTTGATCAATAAGAAATTGGAAAACAAAGGTGCCACTTAAGATGCAAAAGGAGGGACTTTTGGTCATAAAGAACCAATTCTTGTCACTCGTGGTAGCCAATACATGTCATTTTTGGGAATTTGTGTGCTTTTCTTTACCCTAGAGACCAGTGGGCAACAGGGAGAGGGAAGAAAAAGGTCACAGCAAAGCCTGGTGTGTCCGTGCTTCTAGGGGGTACAAAACCTGCAGTAATGGCACAGAAAGAGGTACTTCTTAAGTATCAAATCTCATTTTGTATCTCACCCCACGATTCCTACAACACTACAGACAAGAACAAATGCATGGCGTTTGTATCACTGTGACTGTAAGAGCATTATCCTTGTGGAAGTCAAACATCCTATATTCCTAGCCAAGATATTACTATGTTGCAAAAATGCGTGCAAAATACCCCTGTAATACTGTATTTGTTCTCAATTTCTTTTCCTTTGGAAATAAACTCCATTTTCTCCAGGTGCCAAGACCATAAGAGTCAGGATATTGGGTTTATTCCCATGCTTCCCACTTGTGCAATGGCACTAAGGTCACTCTACCCCCGTGTCACAAAATCTAAAGCATTCGCATCTCTCAAGTTTAAGGAGACTCAGTTACTACTTACAAAATGTTTTGGAGTCCCTGACTGATAAATTATTGAAAGATGCAGTAGGATTAGTTACATATACTTAAGAACAAGGCTTGTCAATTGGTCCTCCTGCAGGCTGGCTTTGTACTGTTTTCAGGAGGAAACAAATAATTAAAGCAAAAGGAACTTGTAAACAGAATTTTAAGAGGGGGAAAAAAAATCAATATTGGAGAGCATCACATCAGAAGATCTCTTATTCCCTTCCCATCATGTGTTTGCTAGACTTCAGCTCACAACGAAGAGGAGAGCTACAAAAGCAGAGAACAAATATATGAAAAATAAATTTTCTTCAACAGCCTTTTAGGGCATTCTCCATATTCAATGGGTTCAAAGGGAAAAAAGAACCTGACAAAAAAGCCCATACCACCAAGGAACAGAACTGTGAAGCCACACAGCAAAGTTTTTACATGTCAGAGCATCTGGCAAACTCCCTTTAAAGTCTTAGCATGGCAGCAGCACAGCCCTATTTTCTGTCCACGCATACAGCCACTTCTGCTTCAAGCCCAACTAACGATCTATTTTTGCCTATGCCAATGAGTCAGTGTTTGGTGCTTTAGATAAAAATATCAAGTTCTCTGTTTATAATGCAGTTATGATGGGCAAGGAGAGAGCAAAAGTAGAAAAAAAAGGCCAGCAGCTGGTAACTTCAATCAGTGCGCTTGGAAATATAAATAAGCAGAATATTCCAAAGCTAAAGGCACAGGACGGGGGACGCAGCGGTTTCTGAGCTGCTGAAATGCAGCTACAGCTGAAACTCTGTGTTCTTTAAGCACCGAGGCACACAGAGCCTTCCACAACAGGAAGGTACAGCACCTTCCACAAACACTCTCTGTACATGCTCTGGCCGCCCAACGTGCCGCTCTATGAAGGGAGGCTACACAGCATTTACACGGCATCCCAACAACAGGAACGTCACAGGGAAAGCGAGAATCCACCTTCAATATCAGGGTGTGAGCAAGAATGAAAGAGAAGGCAGGAATCCAGCCAAAGAGGATTAATGGCATTACTGGAGGAAAATGGAGAAAAACGAACGCAGAAGCTGAAAACGCGGCAAGGAAAGACAGTTGTTCTTCCTTAGCACTTCAGGGGTTAAACTTTGCAATGAGCAATATTTTGTTTTCTGACAGTCAATATTCCACATTTGGGATTCTAGATTTACTAGGAACTGGAAGTCTAAAGTTTGATGCAGCTGCTGAAAGAGAAATACTAAACAGAACACAAAGAAACGAAACAAACAAAACCAAAGCAACTTCCCCAAATACCTTGACGGTGCTGGGTGCAGAAAAGTGCCTCTGGGAGGGACAGACAATCTGTAACCAAAAGCGTCGACTGGAGCCCTCAGCTCTGCCACCACCTCACCCAACAGATGCTTCTGAGCACGTCTTCCCACATCTCTGCATCCCCAGCTCCATCTCATACTGTGCCATTGAGCTGTTGCTACAGATTTCTACAGTCCTCAACCACATTAACTTATTAAACACACAGCACTTTACAACCATGAAGTAAATTTTTTTAGCAAGAATGTGTCAATATCCTAATAATTTCAATAAGCCATACAGCTACAGCCGGAAAAGGGGAGGGGGGAATAAAAAATTAATCACCTCCTCTACCCTGGAAGCTCAGCACAATGTTCCAGCTGAGTTTGCAAAGGTGCTTTCAAGTCTCTCTCTCAAGTGCAACATAAAAATTTGCAGCCAGGTGATTACATTTTGTTTCTTCTTTGATGTATGACCTTGGAGTAACCCAGCTGTGATTCCCAATAAATCACAATTCACATCACCTGTGTCAGATAAGGGGCCAGGGGAGGGTCACTGCTGACGTGTTCCCAGGAGCAGGGGAAGAGGAGGCTGCTTCATTGTGCAGCTCTTGCAAATAAAAACAGAGCTGAGATGGGACTGGAATCTGACAGAATGTACCATTGCTGTGCTTAACGTATGTAATGAAAAAGGAGAATGCATCTAAACCATTGGTGTGTATCACAGAGAGGATTAGACATGTACCAGTTAGCTCCAATGCAAGTATTCACATCTGTACAATAGATAAATAATTCAGGAGCAAGCAAGAATATCTGACTGTAACAACAAATAAGTAATGAAATTATGTGAAGCACTTTGTAGTTTTAGTGAGACAGAAGCCAATAAAAAAAAAATAATAACCCAACTTGCTTTTAGCATATTTCCAACATTTATCCTTCCTTTTGTCTCACAAGAGTGCCCTAAAAATGGGATCTGAAAAAGGAGCCAACCCACCTGGAAGAGTTGTAGTTGTGAGAAAGTTGTGACACTACCTGGCTTCATTCAGCAATGCCTACAAGCCCACAATCTGGTTAAATACAGAAATAATATAGGGACAAGCCTTAAACATCACAGCACATTGCACTGAATTAGAATAATTTTATGGCATCAAACTAAAGAAATGGGCCCTGCTGTCACAATGCAAGGAAAAGCGAGAATCTGGGCTCAAGTGTTCAATTACAATTTCTCTCCAGATAGCAGAAGGAGAAGTGGATTAAATTCATGCTGTACGTGCTGATATAAATTAATTGCAGAAGCACCTAAGGACAGGAGAGCTGCCTCCTTAGGCAGTCCCAGTCTGCACAACAAGTATGAGATGGTGTTAGGTGTTCAAGGTACCCATCTTCTACAGTGCCCTCCAAGATACTACTTGCTCACAGCCATTAACAGCTTGATTTTGAGTTTTCAACAAGTTTTAACAGCAGGACCTGTATTTGCATTGCCCAAACACAAAAGGAGTGCCTGCTGTACCATACAGATGTGTTCTAGACCATTACTGCAGAGTAACTCCAGTTTCAGTTGTGGAGACCTTTATCACTGTCCTATATATGTATATTTTATAAAGCAAACCCAGAGGACACAAGAGCAGGACTCAAAAGGAATTAGCCAAACTCATGGGCAATGAGCACATCACTGAACACTAAAACTAGTATGTTGTACAAGCAACCTCCAGCTCAGGAAGAGCCTCCACATCAATGGGTGACAGATGAGAGCATGAAAATTATGCTGTATCTTGTTTGCTGAAGCATCTTGTACCCCTCTTAGAGACAGGTTACAGGGCAGGTGAACTGTTAGAGTCTGACCAGTGAAGCCACTCGTGTGCACCAAATACACAGAGATAACGGGTGAGCGTAGCATTCTGCATTTCCACAACTTATAACGTAGAAATCTAAAAAATAAACTCTATCAACAAAAAGTTTTCTCACTTTCTTCTCTTGTGCAATATCCCTCACTCCTCTCCATTAGATTGCAGTTTCAAGGTTGCATTTCCTCTAGAACTGGGTCTGTATCTTTATAATATTTCATAAAATCTTACAAAATAATATGACCTACTACCTCAAGTACAACAAACAACATTTAGCAGGAAGATAACAATACTTAGAAACAATCCCTAACAGGCTGAGTAGCACCTGCTGTACCAGTATTAAAACATAACACATATGTATGATGGTCAGCCGCAGCCTGCATATAAGCCTTGCATGAATAGTTTCATTTTCAGCTGTGTTTTACGGGCTCTTCAGCAGTATTTGAGGAATTGAGAGGACACAGGCTAAGAACTGATCCTGTACACGTTCTGAGCCCCAGCCTTGTAAGTTTTGTGCACCATCGCTCACGCTGGATTTGCGGCTCAGCATTAGGACATCTAGTGGCTGAATAATTTACTATATATATACATGTATCTGAATATATTATTTAGATTTCCTGTCAGAAAGCTCACATCTACTTTTCTAAAGCTTAGAAAGACTTAGCCAAGAGCACCTCAGGATTTCTGCGTTAT